TCAGGGTCACTTGGGGGGTGACTGGGTTTTGGAGCCTGGGTAATGATTAGAATGGCTCCGCCCACTATTGTGTAGGCCAGGGAGGCCGCCTCCGGCTGCAACTACAAGTCCCATGAGGCATTGCAAGTCTCTGACATCCACATGACCCCCAGAGGCAGGATGGGATTTGTAGTTTCACCCCCCGATGGAGGGTTGGGCTCCAGGCCGGCAGCATATGCATTGATAGTCCGGTTCACACGGCAGCTTACACTCGTTGATCCGTTTTGCGGGGAGTAAGGAGAAGCAGCCCGACGGAAGCTGCAGGGTGATCCTAGTCAGAGCCCGCCCCCATGTGTCTGAGCAGCCAATCAGCAGCGTGGTCACATGGCGGGAAGGGGAGTCACATGCTCCATGTATTTCTCTCCTGAGCACAGGGGAAGCCGGGTCATGGCCGCCTCCCCCCGCTGTGTCCTAGTGCCCGGCCTCCTCCCGCTGTGTCCTAGTGCCCGGCCTCCTCCCGCTGTGTCCTAGTGCCCGGCCTCCTCCCGCTGTGTCCTAGTGCCCGGCCTCCTCCCGCTGTGTCCTAGTGCCCGGCCTCCTCCCGCTGTGTCCTAGTGCCCGGCCTCCTCCCGCTGTGTCCTAGTGCCCGGCCTCCTCCCGCTGTGTCCTAGTGCCCGGCCTCCTCCCGCTGTGTCCTAGTGCCCGGCCTCCTCCCGCTGTGTCCTAGTGCCCGGCCTCCTCCCGCTGTGTCCTAGTGCCCGGCCTCCTCCCGCTGTGTCCTAGTGCCCGGCCTCCTCCCGCTGTGTCCTAGTGCCCGGCCTCCTCCCGCTGTGTCCTAGTGCCCGGCCTCCTCCCGCTGTGTCCTAGTGCCCGGCCTCCTCCCGCTGTGTCCTAGTGCCCGGCCTCCTCCCGCTGTGTCCTAGTGCCCGGCCTCCTCCCGCTGTGTCCTAGTGCCCGGCCTCCTCCCGCTGTGTCCTAGTGCCCGGCCTCCTCCCGCTGTGTCCTAGTGCCCGGCCTCCTCCCGCTGTGTCCTAGTGCCCGGCCTCCTCCCGCTGTGTCCTAGTGCCCGGCCTCCTCCCGCTGTGTCCTAGTGCCCGGCCTCCTCCCGCTGTGTCCTAGTGCCCGGCCTCCTCCCGCTGTGTCCTAGTGCCCGGCCTCCTCCCGCTGTGTCCTAGTGCCCGGCCTCCTCCCGCTGTGTCCTAGTGCCCGGCCTCCTCCCGCTGTGTCCTAGTGCCCGGCCTCCTCCCGCTGTGTCCTAGTGCCCGGCCTCCTCCCGCTGTGTCCTAGTGCCCGGCCTCCTCCCGCTGTGTCCTAGTGCCCGGCCTCCTCCCGCTGTGTCCTAGTGCCCGGCCTCCTCCCGCTGTGTCCTAGTGCCCGGCCTCCTCCCGCTGTGTCCTAGTGCCCGGCCTCCTCCCGCTGTGTCCTAGTGCCCGGCCTCCTCCCGCTGTGTCCTAGTGCCCGGCCTCCTCCCGCTGTGTCCTAGTGCCCGGCCTCCTCCCGCTGTGTCCTAGTGCCCGGCCTCCTCCCGCTGTGTCCTAGTGCCCGGCCTCCTCCCGCTGTGTCCTAGTGCCCGGCCTCCTCCCGCTGTGTCCTAGTGCCCGGCCTCCTCCCGCTGTGTCCTAGTGCCCGGCCTCCTCCCGCTGTGTCCTAGTGCCCGGCCTCCTCCCGCTGTGTCCTAGTGCCCGGCCTCCTCCCGCTGTGTCCTAGTGCCCGGCCTCCTCCCGCTGTGTCCTAGTGCCCGGCCTCCTCCCGCTGTGTCCTAGTGCCCGGCCTCCTCCCGCTGTGTCCTAGTGCCCGGCCTCCTCCAAGTGCTCGGCCTCCCCCCTGCTGGGTCCTAGTGCTCGGCCTCCCCCCTGCTGGGTCCTAGTGCTCGGCCTCCCCCCTGCTGGGTCCTAGTGCTCGGCCTCCCCCCTGCTGGGTCCTAATGCCCGGCCTCCCCCCTGCTGGGTCCTAGTGCCCGGGACGGACATTCCAATCTCCGGGCCGTCTGATTGGTTCTCATCTCTTTAGGATCTTCCGGAGTTCTTTGAGGATAACATGGAGACCTGGATGACCAACTTCCACAGCCTGCTGACCCTGGACAACAAGCTGCTGCAGACCGACGTAAGTCCAAGAGCAGCTTCCATCGCAGCCTTCTCACACAGGTGTTGTCTGATAAGAGTCCCTCAGGGCTGCATGATGTCATTATGTATAGAGGACAGCGGACCTCCTGGGGGCCCCAGGGCTGTGAGCAGGGACCCCGGAGGGACTTGTGGGGCAAAGAACTCCCCTGCGAGGAGTGTGAGAGGGACGTGGCTCCCAAGGTGAGCTATCCGGGGCCCCAACCTGGGAAGACCCGGTGAGGTGCAACATCATGAGGGGGGGCGGGGTTACCTGGGCACCCAATGACCCATCTGGATGAACACGGAGCCCCCATACTTGTGGAATTGGGGGGTGCACCTTCATTGCAGGAGGAGGAGGCGGGGACATACGCGTTGTACTTGGGGTGAATGATGTTCTCATTGCAGGACGAGGAGGAGGCGGGGCTTCTGGAGTTACTGAAATCACAGATCTGTGACAACGCCGCTTTGTACGCCCAGAAATACGATGAGGAGTTTCAGCCGTACCTCCCCCGCTTCGTCACCGCCATATGGAACCTCCTGGTGACCACCGGGCAGGAAGTGAAGTATGACTTGGTAAGTCAGTCTATAGGTGGGAGCTGGTGACTGGGAGGGGGCGTGGCTGACGGGGATAAGAACGTGTCATGATGTGCCGGATATTGTGAGAACTAGAGGTCCCCTCCTCCCCCCAGCGTGTGCTCACCCCCGGTCATGTGACCTCTCTCTCTGGCTCCAGACATCGATACCAGGCGGCGCGCGGCTTGCGATCTGGTCCGCGGTCTCTGCAAGTTCTTTGAGGGGCCCGTCACCAACATCTTCTCCTGTTATGTCAACTCCATGCTGCAAGAGTTCGCCAAGAACCCCGCCGCCAACTGGAAGCACAAAGATGCCGCCATCTACCTGGTGACGTCCCTGGCCTCCAAGGCTCAGACCCAGAAGGTGAGGTGTCCCCAACCTCGGGGGGAGCAGGGGCCCTCTGGGTGGGGGCAGGG